GGATTGTCATCCAAATGACAACAGCGCAAACGATACTCGCCAACGAGCAAAGACTTATGATGTCACTTACGCAATGAGTTGCTCCATTCCGGCAAGCCGAGGCAAAAGTGACTCCCCGGGTTTGGGATGCGAGTTTTTCCACGTCCTCCTGTGAATTTGGGACCGTCACCTAAGAAAGGCACAAACAGGAGAAATGAACAATTGGAAACAACTTCAATGGTTGAATTGACAGTCTGTGACTTCTCCACGTTCCCGTTCTACGCTGATGGATTTTTGCTTCAACTAAGCGAGGCACGACAGCACGCGGCAACGAAGAACTTCTTCACGACTGGCAAAGCTTTCAGAACAGCCGCCTCGATGACCTCGAACGACCAAATGAACGTTCAGGCTCATGACGCAGCAGGGCGGCACTTGAACAGACCTGAAAGATTTCACAACCCCAACTAGCGCTCAATCGATCCGCGTCGTGTAACAGGAGGCTGCGGGAAGCCGCCCGCCCGCCCGCCCGTCCCATCAAACACGCGGAAGAAACAGATGGAACTTTGATGTCGGCCCATGGGCCCTAGCACGCGCGTGCACGCGCTCGCGTTTACGCGTTCGTGCCCTCGGGCTCAGAAGGCCCCGCGGCCGCAAAGCATCCCGCGGCGTGCCTGGGCATGGCAAATCATCAATGGCGTGAAATTGCGGCGTGCGTGACACATAACGTACACAAAACAATGGCGCCGTCACGGGTTTCAAGCAACGATGGCATCTAAGACTTTGGTCTTTGTTCTGCAAAAGTCATCGTTTGAAAAGGAAGGGATCGCTAACGATACTTGGATTTCGTCTTGAAAACCCCCATGGACATGAATCAATTTCATGCGGGCACGGGCAGAAGATGCGAACTCCACACAGGAAGGCCAGAGATGGAATGGAGCCCTGCATCGTGAGGCCCATTTGAGCTTTTACTCTATCGAGAGACAGACAGACAGACAGCCAGCAAGTTGTCGTTGGCACCAAGAGAGGATGCTGATGAAAAGCGTGGCGCGGCGCGGCTCCGGAAAGCCGTCATCTTCGAGCACGCCTTCCCTTCCCTTCCCTTGCACAAGAGTACAAACCGGTGTCGATAGCATGAGTCACCCACTTGGAATGAATCACACGCATGTCAGCAGCTGATTGAGATGCTTGGTGTTTAGAATGCTCATACTGAAATGTATGATGACTGGGCCCATACAAAGGTAAGGTCACCTTACGTTATCTCACATACGCAAGCACGGTGGGGAATTCGTTTAAACGAGCCGCATCTCATGGTCTGAGGGTTGTTCAAAGTGACGACAATTTGCAAGCCACATGAAGTCGACGCAAATGATTTGCCTTCGCGGGCCGAGTCTGGCGCGAGGGCCTCGACTTTGAAACCCCGTTCTACACGGTCCATCGTTCAAGCAGACGCGCGACGATTATTCGATTAAAAGGACAACTATGCGATTCGCAGCATCGTTTCAACGAGAGCCGTTTCCAAATGTTTCGAAGCCAAAGGATCAAAATTCAGTCAAAATGCAGACAACACCTGAAAAAAACTCGACCTGAATTGAATTCAGTCAGAAAGTACTCCCGTTCCTTCTTTGTCATTGTGTGCCTGCTAGAAAACAGCAAAGGGCCGACTGCAAGCATCCCTTTCCTGGCCACAGCTGGGTCACCAAGTGTCTCGAATAAACACAGGACACACCTTCGTCCAACACATATTCCTCACACTGGACGACCCCCCCCCCGCCCTCGCTCGCTTTGGACGGGAGTCCCTCCCCGTGCTCCTCTTTCCGTTTTGCCAGGAAAACAATGACCAAATCAGACTGTCGTCGCATCCAGAACGTCAAGCAAAGCACAACGACTCGGTGTGTCAGTTGTGGAATGTGCACGCTCGTCGGCGGGAGGTTGTTTCGGTCGAAGGAGAGATGTTTCACCGCTCAAGCCGCCGTCTTTTTGTGTCCCCCCCCGACGTCCCGTGCGTGCGCTCGGTTTCCCTCGGCATTGTCATGACAACAACTCGCACGCGACCACACGAAAGTGCGTTTTGAAGCAACATCCGGGCACGAGCGTGCAAAGTGTCGACGGAATAGGTGCTAAGCGTCCCGGCAAAACAACAAGTGGCGTAACAAGTGTTGACCAACAAAAAAAGGCGGCGGTGCAGTCGCTTTCGTACCTTTCTTTTCGACGAGGGGGAGAGTTGCATTCACTCTTGAAGCGGCGTTCAAATAATATCCCACGCTCCACGGTTTCCACGAGCTGTCCACTTTCTTTCGGCGAGATTTCTCCGCCGGCGCGGACGGACAGACGCCGAGAACGGCAGAGTCGCTCCACGCGTGGGGTCGTTCGGTGAAATTTCCCCGCCCGGGTTCGTCTCAGTTGCCGGAGGAGGATGCTTTGCCCCGCCCGCCTCACTTGGTCCTGGAATAGAAATCACGCCAACCCCGGCGCTGCGTAGTTTGCGTGTGCTGATTGATGGCTACCTTATTTTACCCGGGGTTCAAAACTCTTGTTCTGAGAATCCAGGAGCTATTAACCCCCCCCCCCCCAAAAAAAAAAATCCGAGTCCATTATGATGAGTGATCGCACAATGGACAATGATCCTAATGAGACGTTTGAGGTTCTCCAAGGGAGCATTTGGGAATTTCGTGACCAAACCTAATCCTTTGAATTTGACCGGTTCAAACAAGCCGGCTATCACCAGCATTAGGAGATAATCCACATGTACGGAATGTTTCACATGTTAAATGACTCTCTATCCTAATTACATCGAAATTGCAAGGTGGTGGGGGGGGGGACGGGACTCTGGGAAATCAAGCTGCATTGCGGTTTATCACACAGGTAATACCAATTCCAAAATTAATTCAGACCTTTTAGTGTGTGATAGATTTAAGTAGAGCGCTTGAGTTCGTCAAATACCTGGGAGTGGACTGCAGAGCAATGATTCTAAAATGGGGCTATGTGGACCGCTCGCGGCACGGGGGCAGACTCGAGTGAAACGCCAAGGAATCGCTGGAAGACATCTATCTCAAGTTACAACCCAAAAATTACTTTATGAGCATGTTTTTGGTCTGTCACACAAAAGTACGCCAATTTGCTTGAATTTTGTTAAAAATGCACGCCCGCTGCCATCTATTAGAGTGAATGTGAAATTACATTTTATTGTTGTGCGTCCCATAAAAAAAAAGTCAGGCACCAACAAATCCAACCTCCATGTTGTATTTCGTCGATTGGTTTACAAATGATTCCATTGCTGATAATGTACAACACACACACACACGAACAAAAATTTCCCCATTTTGCTTCATAAAAGACAATGCCAGTGTTTTACAATCCTAATACTTTCGTGTTACAAAACATACAGTAGGCATAACCCTAAAAACATTTTTTTACATATTTGCATACAAGATAAAATTGTGTCATTTTTTTTAATTGACTAAAAGTTGTGCTCTGTTTTTTTGTATTAATTGACGTTTTTTTTTAACTTTTAGGTACATGACATTTCAAATGAAACATGACTTCAATCAAGATGTTAATCGGTATTTAAGCCCAGTGTTGATGCTCAAACCGTGTCTTTCAAGAATACTATACTTTTTGGAATGAAACCTCTCCTCCACAATAGCTTTGTTTTTAAATCAAAATAGGTGCACATAACGTGATTTAAATTGAGTGGCAGCTCGGCATGTATGGTGTTAGCTTTGAATATCCACCCGCAAAAAAACAAAAAAAACAAACAACAAAAACAGAATAGGCATCTCACATTTCTGTGCGGACACAGCAACACATGAATAAATGTGCAAAATGAAAGCACAAAACATGGAAGACATTACGGGGCCAAACAACGTTTAATATCAGATTGAATGTGATTTCACTAAATGAGCGATTTCCAACATCGGAAATGAGATCGCAGCGGGGGAGCCGCATCTATTTCAGCCACCGCAAAATCCCGGTTTTGTCTCTGATGACAAAACCGCAGGCTCAGTAGTTGAACGGCCTTTCGTTGTCATGTGAGAAGTTTGGGTTGCTCTGGCCTTGGTTCCGAGCGTAAGGATCGGTCCGGGGCCGATCCCGAGCATACGGGTTGTTGAGGGATCGGGATTCTGAGTAAGGGTTGCTCAAGGGCCGGGTTTGGGCGTACGGGTCGGTCTGGTTGCGAGGCCGCGAGTACGGACCGCCGTTCATGTCCTCCAAGTTGTCATTGCGCCACTGTAATTCCAGAATATTCCGTTACCGCGGCCGTACGTCTCGCTCAGCCTTTGGAATCGACTCGAATACTCACCGAAGTTCTCCCCTGAGCCACCGAGCCGTGGCGGCTATTGCTCGGCGTCATCTCCAGGCCGGTCTCGCCGTCCCAGGCGCCGGCCGCCGTGGCCCGCGGGATCCTGGGCACCCCTGCGCCGACAAACGGTTTGACGGCCGCGGCCGGCTCGGTCTTCGCCGCGGGTTCCCGCCCGTTGGTCGGCAGGCTCGTCACCAGGGGATCCTTATCGGAGAAGTGGATCACGTCGGGTTTCCCGGTGTCGGGATCTTTCTTCTTTCTCTTGGAGGTCTTCTTTGGAGATCTAAGAGGATCGTTGGAAGAAGGACGTCGCATTATGGCCTTGAATAACGCCTTTGGATTTCATCCCTGGGATCGGTTTGTTCCGCGAAGAGCGGTCATTTCAGCTTTTGGTGCAACGCATTCAACCGAATCAGTAATCCGGGGCGGGTCTCAGATTGGAAACGGGACCGGCTGGGTTCAGTGTTGGAATTTCTGCTAGCCAGAAATGAAGAAGTCAACGGTTCATCGGCCTACGGAGGGCTGAAGAATAAATAAAACTCACCGGGTGGACGTGACGATTAGAACGGCGACTGCGATGAGCAGCAGTCCCCCGAGCACCGAGCCGACGATCACCAAGGCTAGCTTCCACGCTAACGACAACAACAACAAAACGGTTAATGACAACCGCAACAGAAGGATGGCTTGCACTTCGATGGCGTTTCAGGCTCCTGCATCCACACGGAAGCAAACGGATAGCAGGCTTTTCAAAATTTTCAATCGGGAGCAAAAGTTGTCCGGATGGGCGTTGGCGGTGTTACTCACATTCGGCGCAGTTAAACCCAGAATACCCAAAAGGGCAACTGAAAAGAAGAGAAGAGAAAAGGTGATTCAAATGTCATCATTTCAGGGCATTCCATGACAACGAAAGCACCTACTCGATACATTGCCGAGTTCCGTTGGGTGTCTGACCGCTTGGACAAGCTGCGGAGGAAAAAGAAAACGGTTGGAAATAGATGTGACTGGACGCACACGGTTTGGCAGAGCTGGCAAAAGTACTCACACTGTTCATTTCAAAACAAAGTTCAGAGAGTTGTGCAAAGTAGTGACTGATTGGACTCCTTGACTTTCAAGTGGATATCATCATAAAGTTGACGCGCCCCGAATAAAAAGCCAGATCATTGTGATGGAAAAGATGAGACCAAGATTTCAACAATTGCAACACTTTTCCCAGGTTCTATGTGGCCTGTAGTGTGTGAAACAGGAGAGAGAGCGATACATATGACAGTGAAGCAGCCACTATTTAAAGTTCAGCTGTTCTAATTTTTGTATTTTTCCCTTGACGGTTTTTGTCTTTCCGTCAGTGGTTCGATGCACAAATCACGATTGGAGCTGGCAAAAGTGAAACAATTGTCTTGAATAAGGCCGAGGCTTTACATCTTGCACTTACCAACACACGCTCTGTGACTGTAGTCCGTCGCGACGTAAGCCTTGGAACAGCGGCAGAGGAAATTTCCATCGTCTCCCGCGGAACATGTCGTCGTTTTCTCATCGCAGGGTTGCTTCATACACAGACTCGTGTCTTGTAGAAGCAAGAAGCAAACAGTAGGGCCCAGATGTAGCTAACGTGCTAGCTAGCGAGCTCACTCGTGAATCGGATCAATGGTCAAAAATATGGATCATCATCATAGAAGCCGCGCCTAGTACGCCTATTTGACATCCATATCAAGCTCCCTACGGAATTGCAGGAAACATACATGTGAATGTGGAATTTGCCAGAAGACACGCGACGCATTCGGAGGCTTTGGCTACGGCTCCCACAACGTCCTGTGTTTTGACTCGAGCCGACGTCTGGAAGACCATCTCCACGGAGGCGCCGACGCCAGCCCCGGCTCGTCCTTTTCCATTTTCAAATGGCCTGCATGGGCAAAGCTGACGTGAAAAGAAGCAAAACCCGAACGGTGAAGCCAGATCCAAGGAGCCCAATTCTTTGTCGACTTACTTGAGTTCCAACACAATAGAACGCAAGTAGCCAGAACTCTCATTGAAAAGGACACCAATCTGTGCGGTAGAGAGAAATACGGCATTGATTTATTTATTTTCAAGCGTTTTATCAGACACTCCCACGTGGATGAGGAAGAGAAATCTGACCTGATCAGAAATTTGCTCCGCGGCACGTTGAAATGCCGGCGATGTTTTGTTTCTCATGTCCTTTTCGAATGCTAATCCAGGCACTTGCAGTTGTCCGGGAAACACCTTGGCTGAAACATGACAATGTATACAGTTCATCAAAACAAAACCTCCAATATATATATATATATCTATCAATGCAATGATATCCATTTCTTGACAACATTGATTCATTTTCTCAGAATCGGGTATCAAAAAGTGGATCGGAATCCCATCAAACAACAAATCATCTTTTCATGGTTGTTCACTCAATCCAGTGAACCCCTTGATAGTCACGTTAAGGGCGCTGCCCGGGAACAATGTTGAAGTGTGCGAGGAGCGTCACGAAGATAAAAGTAGTCCTTTGCTGCCATTTCCCCAATACTTGCCAGTCTCACAACGCCGGCTGTCCTCGTCGTAGTAATCACCAGCCATACATAAGCAAACCCGGGTTTGATTGGCACGGGCCTCGCACGTGCTTCGGGCAGGACACGGATGTCGCGCGCATATGTCTAGGCGGCGACAAACAATCACAAAAACGTGTCAGCCTTTCCAGCGGTGTTGAAATACTAAGAGCGCGGATTACAGTTGAAGTGAAAGAACCTGGATTATCTGTGGGCAGAGGAGTTGTGCCAGGTGTGGTCGATTGAGCCGGGTCGGTCGGGATAGCCGACTCGGGGGTCGTCGATTGAGTCGACTCGGGGGTCGTCGATTGAGCCGACTCGGGGGTCGTCGATTGAGCCGACTCGGGGGTCGTCGATTGAGCCGGCTCGGGGGTCGTCGATTGAGCCGGGTCGGTCGGAATAGCCGACTCGGGGGTCGTCGATTGAGCCGACTCGGGGGTCGTCGATTGAGCCGGGTCGGTCGGGATAGCCGGCTCGGGGGTCGCCGGATTCCCCGGCTCGGATGCAGTTGGATTTGTTGGGTTCGGTACGACTCGCTGAACTGCAGCTGCAAAAATATGGGAACATCAAAAATGAGAGATTGCGTCGAATCGGTTTGGTTCAAAATGCTGCCGAAGTTCCCGGTATCGCTCTCAAAATGACCACCTGATCCAAAACAAGGGCTCACTTACAAAACCAAACACAACCGACCTTAAAACATGAATGGAACTCTTTCCTGAGCTTGTGTTAGGTGAGGACCTTGTTTTGGTGTGGAAAGGAAGAAAATCGTTTTCTTTTCGCACGCAGTCATAGTTTGCCTTCAGTGGCAGTCTCAAAACACGAGCACTGAACTACACGACGACGATTTCGAACTTAAAAGGGCGTAAATTACACAACGTGCTTTTCAAGCCCATTGAAAACTAATCGAGCCCCCCCCAGTCAACCAAACATTATGTCTTGCCTTCAAAAAAAAAAGCCAGGCTATAACAAATGGGTCGTAAGGTAGGATTTGATTGCTCTTATCGACACACTGGTCAAATATTTACACAGTGTGCGCTAGTACGAACTCATTCGGATATGGAGTTCCCGGAGCGGGTGCGCAGACCACGCTAACCAATTTATTTATTTCCAATGTTTATTTTGCTTTCCTCTGGAAATGATCAAATAACTAAAACATTGTCTTAGTACATTAGTATATTATATATATATGTGTGTGTGTGTGTGTAGTTGTTTTCAATTGTTTTCAGTCAGCTGACTCACTTCTCTGACAATAAAAAAGGCAAAGAAAAGAATCGGCGTGAGCTTGAAACCGTCAAGATGAACGGAAATAAAACATTTGAGCTTTTCTCTGCTTACTCATAATAAAGCAAAAAAGGAAAGCAGTGGGTACATTTGATTCGATCGAAAATAAATCGACCTAAGACAATTCCATTCAAAAAGAAAGGAGTAAAAATTACTTACAGGTCGCAAAGAGGCAAAGGACAAAAGCAAGTTTCATTTCTGGCGCCATCAGAGACAAACAAACAACATGTAGAGTTTGTCTCCAAACTCAAGATGATTCTCAAAGAGCCGTGAGTCGGAGAGGCGTCAACGTCCTCTCACCTTGGATGACGACGACCTGGCTGCGGAACTCACTTTTTAATCGTTAGCCACTCCTTCGAGGAGGCTGGAAATGTGTGCACATACAGTGACCCTCGCTATTTCGCTGTTCGTTTATCGCGGCTTCAGTGCATCGCGGATTTTTTCAAATGTATTCATCATTGTTTTTGTTTTTTTTTAAGTCCGCAAAAGGTCCGCGAGAAGCATCGAAAGTCGGCAAAACAACAGCGAGTCACATAGAGCAACATATACAGTACTACATGTATATGTTTACTGTATTTTGTTATTCATAAACTAACCTAACTTATACATCCTCTTGTTTCTTGTTTTATGTTGAGAGGGAAGAAATTTCATCTGCTGTATGTTACACATACAGCACATTTGACAATAAAGTTGTATCCAATCCAATGTTTAAATCTATTAGTATACAGCATTAAGTCGTGTTAATTACTTCAAAATTTACTTCTACATGCATGTATACCATTAAATTTGGCCTTATAAATATTATGTACATGTACCTATATTGGGGGGGGATCGCTACTTCGCAGATTTTCGTTTATCGCGGGTGGTTTTGGTCCCCATTAACCGAGATAAACGAGGGATTACTGTATACTCTTTCGGTCCAGGAGATGTCACTTCCTGGATGAACGCAATGTCGGAGCACACCTGCGCATGCCAATGACAGCCAAGACAACATTTCACATCCACCAATCCGATTCGCTAGCTAGCAAGTTAGCAACGGCCGATACATTTTACTGTGAAATGATTTGATGTGGTTCCATTAAATGAAAACTGATGTGCCATTTCAATTTGGTTTTCGTAGCATATACACGACGGAGACGGTCACAACGCTCAGTAAGCCGTAGTGATATTGGGGGGCTGCCTTCCTTTCTTTTGTCTTTTGGTGAATTTACGACAGTTCCCTCAAGTTTTCATGAAACCCTGAGACCACACCTTCGGCAAACATGATTCACAACACTTAAACGTTGCGACAGGAATCCCTGCTGGCCATTAAGTTTGGGCTGGGACAAAGGTGCAGCAAGTGACCTTTGAGCCCTCACCATCACACTGGATTCGTCCACCCACTTTCTAAAAATAAACTCATCATGTCGAGTACGCGGTAGAGTTGGAACGATCCATGTCACATTTGGTCAATAAAAGTTAATTAGACCCAAGCTGACATCCCACCATTTCCCGTTATAATGGAATTATCTCAAAGGGGACTTTGATCCCGGACGCTCTTGTGCAGCAACGCACCCCTGAACTCGAGCCCCACGTCATCAGGGAGGGCGTTGGGGGTTAGGACCCCAAAACGTCCCCCCCAGACAACCAGATAAAACCTGATACATTTCAAATAAATCTGCATCATGTCATCAGGCGAGTTCCAAAAGCGTGAAATTGATTTTTTTTTTTGGTAACCGTTGGCTTCTCATGAAGCAAATTTGCCATGTTACGGCTATGGATTCTTTTTTTTTTTGCTTTCCCCGAACTGAAATATTTTACGAGCATGTTTTTTACGTCACTAGATTTGCGATAACGGAGTCTCTTAACATCAGCCCGTGTCACGGCGCTGAGCGTCTGGGAGTCCAAAGTCAAAAACGGGCACGGCCTTCCTTCACCCCGCCCAGCCTGCCGCTCCTGGCAACGGGCGCCGCGGCCGAAATGGGGAAACGGCAGTAAAGCAAACAAAGGCCAACGGGCTCTTCTTACCTTGACGACTTTTGGAGTGCTTTCTCCCGCCATCACCATGTTTGCATACCTGTGTGAAGGAGGACAGGCGCTTTAGAAATGCGTCACGGTCGACAAACGGCTGTGGAATGGCTCCTGCATCCTGGAAAAAGAGAGCGTTGCCGCAAAGACTTGTGCGGGAGCAGACAGTTGTAGACCTGGAACACAAAAGACGTGTCGGTTATGCCTCGTTCGCAAAACATTGCATTGGACAGAAAATGTGGATTTAACAGGTGGTTAAAAACTACCAAGAAATGAGTTAGCTGTTTAGCAGTGTTAAAAAAAAAAAAAAAAAAAAAAAAAGACAATTTCATATCAACATTTTTCAGGGGTCCCCACAGCAAGTCACTCACATGATTTATTAGTCTTATTTTTTTTTCCCCAAACACCGGATGGATGCCCTTTTCTTGATGCCACTCACCCATGTCCGCGTCCGTGTCCAAAACGGTCAAGAAGGGCGTGCAAATCCAATCCTCAAGCCAATCTACAGGGTCAAAATCATGAAGCCAACATCGGGTCTCATTTCACTCCAGTTTAGTGGCGCTTACGTTTCAAGTCGAAGAACTGTTCATTTTCAACCATTTAGATACAACTTTAAAATCACGTGCAAAACATTTCAATTGAATCCTTCATTGAGATTTTCCTATTTTTAAATGTCATTGTTGTCCAGGTGACAGAAACTGAAAAGAAATCTCCTTTGTAGGAACACTACTTCCGTATTTTGAGATTGGTTATTCTGGCGAGACAGAGTGGGAAAATGTTTGTGGCACATCAATCACTCTTGGCAAATTGCATTTAAAAACGAGAAGCACGTTTTCCTTTTGTAACAAAAAAAGGTTTTTATTGGCTTCTCTAATCCGTTCATCATCTCAATAACAGGTCGAGCCCGGGAAATCATGTCACGAGGGTCTAGTACTAATGAGACAAAGGAAAGGGGAGGCTTCTGCTACAACATTTGGTATTGAGGTGAGCGTCACGAAAAAAAAAAGCCATAAAAATCATGCATACTTGATAAAAAAAAAAAATCAAAAACAAATGAACCAAAAAAAAAAAACCGACACATTTTTAGTGTTTTTGTACGTTTTTGTAAACAATATCCTTCTAGGGTTCATATCAAAAACACGTGATGGCAAGTAACAAAAATAAGGGGGATATACCATGAGAGAAAGAAAAAGTTCTACAAGGCATCTAGAATGCAACACTGCTTGGCATGGGTGTTTTTACATTACAACAACAACAACAACAAAAAAGCAATGACAAAACATTTTTCAAATCATACCTTTTGCATTTTGACAAGTCACTTGCTCTATCATTGTAAACACGGGCAGTGTAAAAAATGATGACACAACATGTCCAAGCTATCCTACAAAGATTTCCACTACATACAATGAAACGCGCGTCCCTGCTTTCTTACGCTTTAGTGATATGAGGTATATTTAGTCAATCTTATCGTCTTTTTCTCTCCGTTTCCGTTCAAAGCATAGTGTGTTTGGAGGGAAGCGGCTGGTCGGTCAAGTTTTTTTCATTTTTCCTTTTTCGCCTCGCAGCTTCCGAGTCACCGAAAACCAGCGGGGAGGTACGGCTGGGGCAAACCGGGCCGTTGAGGCCAACGGGAAATCAACTCAACCCGACATCAAGCCCGGCCGCCGGGACCGAGAGAACGGCTTGAACCGCGGAAGACAAAGAAGGCCATTGTTCGTTCTCGGGAGTTCAGGACCGATGCATATTCCGGAGGAGTGTCGGATAAATTAACTCTTCTGCTGCGTTGGTGCTACAAAAGGTGTGTGGCGGCTCGTGGAGAATAAATACAAAAAAAAAAAACAACTGAGCGAGAGAGAAAAGTTCCAGCACGTCAGCCGAGCTCTGGAGAAACACTTAAATACAAAGAGCTACTCTCAAAATATTGGATCACAAAATTATGGCAAATCCATTTTTACATCACCTGACAAACCGCAAGAAAGTCGACCCCCCCCCAAAAAAAACCAAACAAACCCCAATGCCCATTAAAATCATCAGCCCGCCCTGTCAAAACCCTCGTTCACAGTTTTCTCCTTTGAAAATACACATTATTTATTTCTACCCCAAGAGTCAAAGAAAATCCAATGGGTTATTGTTTCTGATGATATGTTTGGAGGGGAAAAAAAAGTGCTCGTTTGATTCCATTGACGAAAAAAGAAAAAAGTGAGGTGACTGTTGCGGTTCGCTTGCTGGCTTTTGTGTTTTCAGTCACACGGGTCTCAATGCAACTCTTTTCGACATGCTGGTTTCACATTGACACGCAACAGTACCATCTTTTGGACTGAAACACGCAGGAGAGCCAAAACATGAGCGCCAGGAGTAAAATTGAAACGTTAAAAAATAAAAAAATCAAAGCTCTGTCGTTTCAAAGTACACCTGTAAAAACTGTGCTAATTGCATCTCATCATACAAAGTCTTATCACACAATGTTGCCTATTTCCTGAGTTCATGTTTCTTGTAACAGACAATATATACTTTTGTTTGTTTGTTTGTTTTTTTTTTTGCCACGTGAGTTCTGGGCTTTCCCTGCCACAAGTGTTGTGTGTGGTGTTTTTTTTGTAATTATGAACGTTATTACTTTACAAAGGTATGATGATTGGTAAAACGAGGGTTTCGAAAGTAATAAATGCAAGTTCATCTCTACCCTCCAAAATGTTTTAAATTACATTTAAAATCTACGGTTTATGCCGGCCCCCAGCCCCACCCAAAAAAAAAAAAACCAACCCCCACTACATTTTCCCAACAACATGTAAGCGACAAAAATCATGTTTCATAAAAATAAGAATGAAAAACATTGCATTTGAGGCCATGGAAGACCCTCCCTGGTCATGTTTGCATCAACATTTAATGGCAGTGTTGAAAAAAAAAAAAACATTGCTACAAGAACAAAATTGGGATGCGTGTGTGTGTGTGTGTGTGTGTGTGTGTGGACGGGGGCGGGGGGGAAGCAAAAACAGCCCCCCCTCCCCTTCCCCAGCGGGCTCACCTCATTTGACCCTTATCTGAAACTTTGGCTTGTCGGGGTTTTTGATCCTGTACTCACCGGCTCAGTGACGTCAGCTAACAAGCTGGTAAACCCTGAGAACTCTGAGACCGGAGTCCGTATTCTGTGGTCCACCTCGGCGCCGGGGTCGCCGCCGTAGCTCAGAGGGGTGCGGCGTCCCGACTTGAACTGGGAGCCGAAGGCCTGGGCGAAATTTTCAATCTGGTACGTGGCGGATTCTTTCGGGGGATTCAGGGGGGACAGGTCCGAGTAGCCGGAAGCGGCGCCGCCCCCGGCCTTGGCCCGTTGCCCCTTGGAGCTTTCCGCCTGGGCGGTCAGATCCTGGGGAGGGAGGCTGAAGGCGCCGGGCGAGTGCTGCTTCTCCAGCTGCTCCGTCAGCTCCTGAGACGGCGTGAGCTGCTGGTGGCCGGCCGGCTCCAGCGTGAGGTGGAAGGCCGCTTGGGAGGGGGAGCCCACCAGCATGCCGTAGTGGGACTTGGACGAGGCGGCCGAAGAGGAGGAGGAGGAGGAGGAGGAGGGGGCGGAGGCGGACGCGGACGAGGGCGCGACGACGGGCAGCGGCGAGGAAACGGCGGCCGGGTAGCCGCAGTCCAGCGGGGGCGCGCCGTAGACGTGCTTGTCGGCGAACAGCGGCCCCGTGGGACTGGAGCCGCTGGACAGGAGCGGGAAGGGCCCCGCCGCGCCCAGGCCGGCGAAGGGCCCGCTGTGGCTGGTGCGCTCCAGGGCCTGCAGGAGAAACTTGGAGTACTCGCTCATCACCGCCGTTTTATCGCCCCCGGCGTCGCCCGCGTCGTCCTCCAGCTCGGGGGTGACGGGCGCCGCCGGCTGGAGGTCCACGTGGTGCGGGTGGTCCGACAGGTCGAACGCCACGTCGTGGTGCTGGTGGTGGTGGGCCCCGTCCGGCTTGTGGCTGTAGTGGTCCAGCAGGCTTTGCAGAACCTCGTCGGGGATGCCCGACTTGTCGTGCTTGAGTTCCAGGGGGGACGCGTCCAGCATGGCCAGCGTGGGCTCGGGGCCCAGGGAAACTTGGATGACGCCGCCCCCCTGCGACGCCATGTGGAGCGCGCCCGCTCCGTAGTCGCTGTTGACGGCGTGGAGGTATCGCCGCTTCTTCACAAACTGCATAGCGTCGTCGTAGTTGCTGCTGCCGGTGGCGGCGGTGACGGCGACGGGACCCAGACCCTGCTTGGTGCCCCCGCCTCCCTGGAGCAGAGCCATGTTATCCAGCCCCGAAGCATCCACGTGATCCAGGGAGCTGCTGGCTTTTTGGCCTAAGGGCTTTTGGCCGTCGGCGCCGTCTTGGAGAGAAAGGAGGCCCTTGTCCAAACCCTTCCGGCCGGCTTTTTTAAAGACCAATTTGGGGGAGCGCCCCTGCGTGGCGGAGCCCGAGGGCTGCTCCATGCCGTAGTCCTGCAGGCTCACGTCGCGCGGCGCGGAGGACGCGGCCGCGCCCTTCTTCCTCTTGCGCTCGCCGCCCTCTCCGTTTTTGGCCCTGGCCCGCTTGCGCCCGGAGGTGGTGGCGTTTCCCTGAGTGAGCGAATAGCTGCCCTGGCCCAGCTCGGCGTCGCCGAGCTCCAGCATGTTGGGGTCCAGGCCCTTCTTTATGGCTTCTCCGCAAGTCCGCTTGTGCTTCAGTAACCGGTCGGTTCTTGAGAAAAACTGAAAGGTTGACAAAGGGAGAGAGCGAGACGCACCAAAACAATAAGATGCAGTGACCCAATTTTAACGGCTTTTTTTTTTTTGTGGGGGGAGTGGACTCCCCAGTTGTGCTGGCGGCAGTGCTTCCAACTACAGAAAAGCTTTTCTTTTTTTGTTGTTGTTTAAAATGACTGAGCTAAACTAGAAGCCCCAGAAAAAAAATGAGTTGTTTTTTTTTTCCTGCTTCACGCTGCATTTTTTTGGACAGGTGCGAGCTTACATTTCAATCATCGACGAATCGTTCGGAGACCTCGTTGAACTGACCCGTCCAAATCCCCAGAATGTCAGCCTTTCAAGCGAAAAGGTCCCGGTTTCCGGAGTCCGGCACAAAAGCCGACCCATTATTTTTGTGTTTGATGCAAAAACAACAGGCCTCCCTCCTTATCCCCTTCACTGTCTGAACAGATTACGATTTGAACCGAATAAAAGCGCAACATTTGCTCGGGCGTCTCGACCAAAGCGCGGGAAGCGAAGAAGGCCCGGAAGCCACCCCCGAAGTTCAAACGGACGGAGAAACAAGCCCCCCAAACCTACTTGTTGGCACGTATCGCATCGGTACGGCTTCTCGCCGCTGTGCGTCCGTTTGTGTCGCTCCATGTGGTACTTCTGGATGAAACGCATGTTGCACTGGTCGCAGCTGAAAGGCTTCTCTCCTGCAACAAACGCCCGGGCCGTCATTTGCGGGTCGTTCCGCGGTTCCCCGAAAACCAAAAGCGAAAATCGCTCGACTCACCGCTGTGGATCTTCTCATGCCGCTGGAGCAGGTACTTCTGAATGAAGCTCATGTTACACTGACTGCACCGGAAAGGCCTCTCACCTGTGCGATCAAGAGTACGACCGCCCCCCCGCAACACATTAATTATCGCTCGGCCTCACGAGACGACACGATATCCGATTTGCCGGCGGAGCATCCGAAGCGCAAAAATACAAAAGGCAAAGAGAGCAGCGAAAGCCTCTCACCTGTGTGTATGAGCACGTGTCTGCGCAAGTGATAGGAGCTGCGGAAGGCGGCGTTACAGTGCTCGCAGATATGCGGTTTGGAGTTGGGGGACAGGCAGGCTCCGTCGGCGTCCAGCATCGTGGCCTGTCGGGGGACACGCGACAGCGGCGGGACGGTTACGCCTGGCCCGACGGCATCCTCTCATTACCCGAGCACAAGTGAGCAAGACTTTGGGGCAAGACCGTTCTCAAAAAGGCGAGATCATTTCCAACAGTTGGTCATTCGCAAAGTCTCACGCATCCCCGGTTTCATCCGACGGAAAAGCCCAACGAAGCCCCGCGTGCGTGTCAGAGCGGGATTCTTTTGAGGATGCGCGGCCAACCTTTGCGGCGTCGCTGCGTTTCCTCCGGGCTTTGCCTCCCTGTCCGTCCCCGTTGGTCCTCCTCCCTCTCTTGGCCGAGGCATCTTTCGGCTCTTTCGGCGCTCGCCCCGACATCTGAGGGCCGACCGCAAGCGAGATCGGTCTCAAAGTGACGCAAGAGTCTCATCTTCACGTTTGCGCTCGGGACTCACCGGTTCCCCGAGAGAGCGCACGTTGCTGTGGCCGAGGTCGTGCAGGAGCATGTTGTGGTGATTCTGGTGGTGGTTGCCGTACGACATGTCCGGCACGTCGCCGCCGCTCTTCCCCGCGCCGGCGCAGTTCATCGGCACGCCGCCGCCGCCCCCGCCGTAGAGAGGCATGCGATAATCCAGCTCGCTGAGCCGCTCCTGCTTGATGCCCATGCTGTGGAGGAAGCCCCCCGCGCTGGCGCTCTGGTGCTCGGGGGGCGAGTCGCGCTCCTTCTTGAGGACCATCTCCTGCGGGAGGTCGCCCATGACCGACTGCGAGGTGAGCCGCGTGAAGCTGGTGACGGGCGGCAGGTGGCTGAACATGAGCATGCCGGGCGCAAAGTTGGGGTCCATGCCGCCGTTGCGCAAAAACTCATTGCCAATTTTGTCTTGGATAATACTCATGGTGGTCGCTTCGCTGCGGGCGGGCCGGGCCAATCGATCTAAAGAGGAATGCGGGAGAACGCCCTGAAAGAGAGGACAGACGTACACACGCTTCGTAACGGCTTAGCTACAAGCCTTTACAGATCCACAGACGTGGGATAATCATGAATAAAAATCTTTGTATGTCAGTCCAATGGTCTGTCAACACTTTCAAATATAGACGCTGGCCTTTACGAAGTGATATGTAGCTTGGCCCCAAAAATGTGACCAGTAGACTTCATTCTGAATGTTTGGAACATTCTTTTGGCAATTAACAAATGCCAATAAGTGACCGCCAAGTCTTCCTTGTTCAAAAGGACAAGGACAGACAAAAGTAGTCAAATGCACATCACGTGGGTGACAAAAGTCCTTAAATAATGGCTCAGAAATCGGTCTACAATTGAATGGAAAATATGAACGTTCCTACTCATGTAACCTGGAGACTAAATGGAACATTTGGAGTAAAGCGCTGTCATTTTAACGACTCGTTTGCACCTTGGCAGAGCAAGCGTGAAAGCCAATAAGTCCGGACGTCTGCTTCGGTCCAAAAAGATCTCCTTTGTTTTTCACATGCAAGTCGAATGATCAAATTTGGAACGAATTAGTGTTGTCGTTGTTGTTGCGGGTATTTTGAAACAGTCGTTCGCACCTCGGCCTATCAAACGTTGACGCCAATAAATGGGACTGCAACACTACTAATTAGTCGGTTGGGTAGAATTGCCCAAACAAACGCGACTTGACATTTGGGTAACGAAACTAAGGACACACTCTTGTGCCGAAACGAGCTCGCCTGGGCTTCCCGGACTTGCTCTCGAGCCCTCGTCCCGGCGACCATTTGTCTCGGCGACACATTGAACACGGAGCAGATGAGCTTTTGTCATCCATAACAGTTAGCCGGCGAGTTAGCATTGCAGCCGACTCGCCACAATGAGCCCGACGACGCATTATCGAGCCCGCACTCCAAACCTGCCAGCAAAACGCTGAGAAAAGCACCACGAGCCGTTCGGCAAAGTCCCATTAGACGAGACGGCTTGACAGAAGCTCAAAGTTAACCCCGAGTGTGCCCCGTTTGCTTGGCGTATCCATTGGCTATTTAAAAAAAAAAAAACGGATCCGCGATTACTCGGCATAATTGCTCATTTCAATGAAGATACGTTGATACAAACTCTGCACATTGCTCCATTCGTGGTTCCATCTGCCACGGGTGGCGTGAATGGCTCATTTCCCGAGCTTTGCTGGCCAAATTAAATGGAGCTGGCTGGCGCTCCGTTGATTGATAGCTAACTTTAGCTGCAATTACGAGCGGATAATCATTACCGAGCGTGCGCGTGGCTGGCACAAAAAAACAAAAAAAAAAAAAAACAAAAAGCACACCCTTCTCAAGGCTATTTCGGTTCCACGTCGACTCCGGCTCCAATGACCCAACACGAGCCATCGCGGCTAAATAAAAACCGAGCTTCGAGCTTTTTCCGCGCAGCCGTGTTTATAACAATCAAACTAGCCGCGAGCTAGTTAGCCGGCTGCTAACGCGCTAGCAGTTAGCTCCGAGTTGAAAAAAAAAGCCGCATTACGGCCCGCGCATCACAAACAATGATGCTGCCTTTCGGTGCGGCGCCCCGCGGTCGGCGAGCCAGCGGACGCGTCGCGTGGATCTCGACCGAGTTCGGACCGAACCGCGAAACGGGAGCCGGCTCGGGTTCTCGCTCACCAACACATGACCGCAGACGGCTCGGAACGTGCCCGCGGCGCCTCCGTATTCCCAGCTTTGGGGGATTTTATTGCCAAAACACCGCTCTGCGGCAGCGGCTGCTTTCTTCCATCTTGTCGTGGCGCGGGGGATTATGGGTGCAGGCGGACGGGTCGTGAGAGGAGACAGCCGCAGCCGCAGCCGCAGCCAGCCTGCTGATGCTGCTGCTACTGATGATGATGTCGAGGGAGGGGACTGACTTTCCTTTGCCT